AAAGAGACTGTATGGCCCAAGGTACAGAAAAGTAAAATCTGAAAAAATTATTTTAGATACTGCACTAACTAAGTAGGATAGCCCTAATAATATGTATATCATACCTTGATACAACTTGATACAAGCAGGATCCTACACACAGCACTGGACTTGGTGCTGTGGGGATGAAAGCAGCAGTTATGGCAGTGAAGTCACATCCCCACCCCCTCCTCGCTCCTTGTCCATTCACAAAAAGCCTTGTATTTTTTCAGAGAATACAAGGTGTTCTGTGAATGGAGATGGAGAGGAGGGCTGGGTATGCAACATGACCCTCCTACTCCATTCACAGAACGCCTTTTTTTTTTTTTTTTACAGTAAGTGTATGCAAGCTGTAGACTATTGAATTACAGTTGTTTTTTCCAGTTATATAAGCTCAGAACAGACAAATACATTTACAAAATTGTGCAAGAGAAAAACATAATAATTGCTGTAGTATGGACTTACTATAGGGAGTGAGGCCCCCATTGTAGCTGCTCATTTGCCAGGTTCATATTCACATTGGTATAAAGATGCATTTTGCATTACTTCACATCCCCTCTAATGTTTAGTTATATTCTCTGTAAGCCTGTAGTAGGATGTACTAAAGGGGGATAAACATAACAACATAGTGGGGAATTAACAAAGCTTCCTTCTCTATTATAATGGAACTATCTGCTAAGTACGCCTATAGTAGGATGTGCTAAAGCAGGATGAACATAAGAACATATATCTCATTACAAACATGTTAGAACTGTCAAACATTCTTGGATATAACAGAGGATCCTTACTGAGATTTTACAGTGGGGTCCTGTAATTTTAGTTGCACCTATAGGGCTGTGTATTTCATTTTGTCAATTTAAAACTTGCCATACATGTATTTTTGAATAGAATAAACATTACTGATTATAGTATCAGGATTTTGCATTGGTCATGTAGATGTTTTCACTAATATAATTCATCCTATTCTCATTAGTATCTTATGTATTCTTCACAAGGATATAGTAATAGGTTTATCAAGCATTAAAATAGGCCTAACTGAAAGCTGCAGTAGTAGACCATTTGTTATACGGTATATGTGCAGTTGTCTCAGCCTGGAAAACCAGTGGGCATTTCCTCCAGTATGATGTTCTCTTATATTAGAGAATTCTCTCATATATGTATATGTCTCTGCTTTTCTTTTGGAACAGACCAACTATAGCACAACAGCTTATGTTCAGTCATTCTACACACGGCATCAATAAAGATGCTTTAATGTTTGTGTCATTGTTTGTAGAATCTATGCATTCTATCCTGAGGTTTGTCTTCTACTAGGTATACGCTAAATGTGTTATGCGATCTTGGAGAAGGTGAAAAGATTGATGACAGAACTATTATTATTAGAGAATTCTCTCATATATGTATATGTCTCTGCTTTTCTTTTGGAACAGACCAACTATAGCACAACAGCTTATGTTCAGTCATTCTACACACGGCATCAATAAAGATGCTTTAATGTTTGTGTCATTGTTTGTAGAATCTATGCATTCTATCCTGAGGTTTGTCTTCTACTAGGTATACGCTAAATGTGTTATGCGATCTTGGAGAAGGTGAAAAGATTGATGACAGAACTATTATCAATTGGGTGAATCAAACTCTCAAAGATGCTAACAAGGATACCTTAATCACCAGCTTCAAGGTAATAAATGCAACAAAGGCTATTTTATATTTGAATTGTATTGCTTAAAGGGAATGTCAAGTCTTTTTAATTTGTTTTAGTTAAACATTAACTAAATCATCTTGATTTAAATAATCTCAACAGTATATTTTATTAGGCTTGTGGTGATATACAGGTACACAGGTACACTGGAGCGGCCATATTTACTGCTGACATAGGTTCTGCTTGCTGCTTTGCAGTGCTACATAATAATTTTGCTCTGTTGCTGCTTAACACAGTGTGAGTTTTTAAGTACAATGATTTATATTTATTCCCTATGGGGCTATTACCTTATCTCACTGATTTTCTAAAGAGAGACGGGAAAATTGCAAGTGAGCCACTGAGAACTCCCTACAGTAACTAATTAATGAATCTCTTAATTTAAGACAATAGGAAAAATATGGAAGACCGAATTTGTAATTCACATGAAAGGTTTTTTTAAGCTAAACCATTCAGTAATAGTGCAAACTGTGCACTCACTGTAAATATATTATACATCCCTTCCTATAAATCTACTGTAATACTTTTAATGTTTGAAATGTACTTTATATACTAAGCCTTTTAGTAGTTTTTAGTACTTACCTATCTAAAGCTGGATCTAAAGCTGGCCATACACTATCCAGCTGGGACTGTGTGTTGACACCCACAGGTAACACATAGCAACCAGCAGAAGCAAAATGCTCAGGCATGGGCAAAGGCACACATATGCAAAGGTTCCAGCGGTGCAGGGAATCATGGGACACGTAGTCCCCATGCAGTAGATCATTTGAATGTTCCATGATGTGAGCAATGCACATTCCTTGGCCGGAGGTTTAGGGTAGCACTGCGGGGACACTGGGAGCTATAGGGATCAAACCGT